AAGTCCATTGTTCTTCGGATTCCAAGATCGGGAGATAGACCTTCATCTTCCTCATGTCTTTCTCGACAACGGGGCAGCATAGATACGCATCTCCATACATGTACTGCGTCGCCCCGAGCTTCCAGCATTGCGGGTCGTTAGGAAATTCGTAAAATAGGGGGCGAATGACCGGAGAGCCCTTTTGGTGAGCCTCAGCCATAAGCCGTCGAGTGTAACTCCTCAGCTGTTCACGAATGAGCAGATACTTCCGACAGATTTCATACACAGCCGGCCCATAGGACCAGACTTCATTGGGCGCTCCGCTGCTGGAGGACAGGTTGCCGCTCTTGGGCTCGCGGTCGCCGTGCAACCGCATGACGGGACAGAAAGTACCCCATTGAAACCATCTGACGAAAAGCTCGCGGAATGATTCATCTTCCGGGATGCCACCATGGAATCCGCCAATGTCGGTCGTCCACCATGGCAAGCCAGCAATTCCCATGTTGAGTCCAGCAGCCAGTTGGTTGCGGAAGCTTGACCAAGATGAGGCGATGTCCCCGCTCCAGACAAGAGCACCATACTTCTGACTACCCGCCCAGGCGCACCTGAGAAGGTTGACGGGGTTCTCTTGTCCAGACTCCCTCATGCCATCAAAAAACGTGCGCGCGTAATCGCGAGGGTAGATGTTACCAACTTGCAGGTTTGGCCCTAGAAAGTAGCGATAATTGTCGAAATCATAGACCGAATATTCCGGCTCGGCTTGGTCGAGCCAGAACGTTTTGATGCCCTTGGTGTAGTAATTCTCCTTTGCCTTGTTCCAGACGTATCGACGTGCATCAGGATTCGTGGGATCATAGTAAACAGTCTGACCCTCAAATTCGAAGTTTGTCCGAACTCCTCGCTCGGTTCGAACAAGAAAGCCTTGCTCCAGCATTTCTTGAAAGTTGGATGATCTCTGGTCAACGGTCGGCCAAATAGAGACCATCAACTCTACCCCCAAAGCGTTGAGGCGTTTGATCATGGCGTCTGCTTGCTCATTAGTCGTGATGAAAATGGTTGGACCAGGTAGTGCAATCAACAGAACACGGTCCCAGACACGAGCGCCGACTTACCTGGGTCAGGCCAGTAGACGGGGTCAAATTTCCACTCGCCCTGCATTGGCCAGTGAAAGAAATCCACCACGATCAGGTCAAGGGGCAGTTCTCGGCGTCGATACTCTTCTGCAACCTCCAGCAGCTGGTCCTGGGTTTCATATCGAAGCTTACACTGCCAGAAACCAAGACCGTGTTCCGGCATCATAGGTGCTTTGCCAGCAACATCGGCATACCTCTCCACAATCTGAGCCGGCGTATCAGCGACAACGACCCAATAATCCAGAACCTTCGTAGCGTAGGCCTCGAAGGATGTCGTGTTCTTGCCGAACACCACTCGACCGATGGCTGGGTTGTTCCACAGTATACCATATCCTAGAGACGAAAGGGCAAAGGGCACGCTGGCCTGCGAATTGCGGTGTGCAAGTTCGAGGTCGAGACCTTTTAAATCCAAGTGCGGCAACTGGTATTGCCCCATGCCGAAAATCCGCTCGTCTGTGTCCAGGCTCTCAAAGCGCATGGTGAGATGGTAGTCGCCTCCACGGAGAGGTTTGAACTCGCGGGATTCGACTTCTATGGCACTGCACTTTGCATCCAGGAGGTCGCGTCTGTTTCTGGCGTACTCTTCGAGAACCACCTTGCCGTGGGAGTTGATCACAGTAATTTTCCCTCGTTTTGAAATGCATGCTTTAGCATTGCCATTCGTAATTGTAGCCGAACCATCATCAGCGATAAATAACTGAGGGGCTGATGAAATGCTTGGAGGTTTCTCTTCGAGAGCCCATGCTTCTGATGGCATCACATGGGCCTTGGTAGCCCGGATTCGGAATGCATCCGGGCCCCATGGCTCAATCCATACCTGTTCGCCATCATAGCGGTAGATGAGACGGTGATCATCATTTTGCATCATCTTGTATATAGAAAATTCCGAGAACAAGGTAGATAATTGATTTCTTTGTGATATTGTGCTTTGCGTGAAAGACGCTGCGGGTGACCGGGCTTGAAGAAGTGGCAGTCAAAAGACGTAACTGCTTTTACTGCATCTTTCCAAGTACGGAGGCGAAAGGTACATGTACTTGGAGGTTGACTTTCCAGAATCCATCCGACCTTGATCCTCTTCAAACATTCGTCATTGACTGTTCCAATCACTGCCTCTCCGTAGTGCATATCAAATCTGCCGGGTGGGTGCAAATGCTTGTCCCGATCACCGACTCTTCTCCACCGGGCCGGTGGGAGCTGTGGGGACAAACTCCGGTGGAGAGCTAACTCGTGCCGGAAGCTTACAGGTTCCCGCGATCATCGCAACTTGCCGTCGGCTCAACTGCAGAAATATGAAATCACGGCGTCGGTGAATTATCGATTTTGTGCAAATGGGCACCAGCTTCCCCCGGTGGGCTCAAATCATAGTGACTCAATCGTCGTCCTTTACTTTTGATCTTGGTTCATCCGATCGGGTTGGTCAACATTGTTAGACAACCACCGCAGCAACGATGATTAAAGGTATATGCAAAAGCATTGCAGACCAATAATTTTTCAGCGCGTAGACAGAATGGAAGAAGCAGATTCATGAGTTGAGCAGCGAGGTTAAGGGGAGACAAGAATTAACAACAACAGGGGGCATTAGATAGTCGCAGTTAAGTCCAATGACTCGGGCCCTTCAGCGCCCGTCTGAAGTCCCCAACTCCATCTCAACTCACGGCTTGGCCGAACCAACCGCATGGGTCCTATGGTATTGCGCCCCCAGATCTAGATTGACCTACGGCAGAAAGTCTCCGGACTGTGGGATTGCCCTACTCACCCCGCTTTGGGGGGCTTGCCGAGCTTTGAGCACTCTGTTGTCTCCCAACCTTATTTCGTGAGCTCCGTCAGAGTTCAGGTGAAGTTCAAGGAGTAGTTCACATCCATAGTTGAAGATACTGTAAATTGAACGCTGTTCAATTGATAATTGACAGTGGCAATTGATACTTGATCGCAGCTACCTAGAACCGGTCAGGCTTATGTCCTCGTGAGTGAAGAAGACGAATTGATGGCTAGCGCCGAAATGCCAGCCCTAGGAAGCCCATGCGCGACCAGGTATCCCTGAGTTTTCAACGCTCTTGGTAGAGATTTTATCGCGGGATCCACGGATTCCGAATAATACAGCGCCAACACGATCGGAATCTCATCCGAGCCGCTTTCCTATTTTAACAGACTTAGTAGGCTTAGCTTCATCCCCGGGATCGCCTTTTGTTAACTTTCATCCACGTATGGGGGACATATTGCAGACGGCTGGTCTAGAACGGTAGTTGAGGTCAGGATTAGGGTCAGTGGGCTTTCTCCACTTTAATGAAGATCATTCACCAAAAGTGTCATCCCCAAGATCGCACTTTAATGAATGCTGACGGCTACATGCTTGTTACACGAGCCTCAGTTCCCCTATGAGGACTTCAACTCATTTTGAACTGACTAGCATCGTTCTCTTTTCAATGGAAATGACTCAAGGTCAGAAATAAACTTTACCCAACACTCTTCAACACGTGGATTCAGCAAGAACCGTTCTCTTTCATTGCCTTATCGGTATCCGGCAGGCCACATGGGCAGACGACTAAGCTGAGCATGACAACAATTTCACGAGTCAACGACATATTAAATTTCAAAACGCTTAATCACTGCGCTATTAAGACCGCAACTATCTACAGTTGAGGTTTGAATCGTGTTAGATCGGTATAGTCTTTATCCACATGTGACGGTTGCTCTTCCGAATGGTATAAATCATCTCGTGTTCCCCAGACTTTACGTAGTTTCTCTCTCCTCATCCTATCCACATTCATTCATTCATTACCTTCACTTTGCAACAGTTTTCATAACTTTTCCAACGAACACTTTCGTTTAGAACTCACTTTCCATCCTTCAAAATGCGTGCCGCCACTTTCACCGCCGCTGCTGCCTCCCTCATCATGGCTGTCGCTGCCGTTCCCCAGGGCTTCAACTGCAAGGTGCGTACCAATCCGCCTTGAGAGCAACAAGCTCTTGGCCACCTAGCCAAACAAGTACGAAATACTAACATCCACCAAGTCTGAGGGTTTCTGCACCTACTCCGACCCCAACTGCAACTTCTGCCTCAATATCGACCCCCCTGCCAAGCTCAAGGTCTGCCAGGCCATCGACCCCACCTACAAGAGCGCCCCTGGCGACATCACTCGTGGTCCCCCTGGCGTATGTCCACCTATCCCCCCTCTTCAAAGTTCCACGCTGACTCTCATGCTACTTCATAGGCCGACTTCCAGTGTGTTGTCACTTGCTGCCACTAAACGAAGATGGCAGAGGTTATGGACCTCAAGGATTGAGCCGACGTCATTGTATGTTGCAAAATTCAGTTAGAAAATGGGAAAAGACAGAAGCGTGTGAAAAGTTGTTGCGAGATCTGATTCACTGTGAAACGGGCTGAACACGTTAGTCCATGAATGCATGTGGCGTAGGAGAGCGGCTCGCGGCTCTCGGCTGATGGCACGTGGGCAGCCGGCGCGCTTATCCCATGCTTGCCCAAATAGGATACTGGGCCTCCTTAGTCCATCCTTAAAGGCACTGTACTGGAGGTAGCGGCTCGGTGCAAGGAATCTTCCCCGGTTTCCCCCGCCATCCAGGGGGTTGAGTGCTGTGCCTCCAGGCGAGCCCATCAAGAGTGGACCTGTCCGACTTCACGCATGCATTTGCTTCAAATGTTATCCGGACGGACTGGCTACTTTGTGGCAATTTTTTGGTCCGTCTATGTATGAAAATAACGAAAATCCACGTTTCCCGACACCCGATTAGGCATAGGTATGCATGGGGCACGTTCTCTGCAGCGCAAAATCTTTCCCACATGGGATTAAGACTGCCTTTCAACGTTAATCTACTGAAGTCTTTGATCCGTCATGGCCTCAGTATCTCTGGTTTTGGAAGCATTGGGGTTTAGGAACAAATGCTCCCGATCTCCCAGACATTTTTTACAGAATTGTTGTGAGGGGGGAACCATCTCTCAATCCCTGTCCTTACTCTCTGGAACGTCACATCAAGCCCTTCAAGTTTGCAAATCCTTGATCTTACTGCTGGCTCGTCTTCGGTAGTACTCCGCTGCTTCCGACTTGCTCGGAGTGGCATCTGGGAGAGCAACAAGCTTGTTTCCATCCTCTGTTGGCTCGCGTAGGAAACGATCGAGGGTGTTTTGTGGCGTCTCGGTGGTGGTATTTGGTTCATTCGATGGAGCGGAAGAAACGGTGGCACTCCCTGTTGTGTGGCTATCTCGAGAAGGATTAACGATTAGCATACGACACCTACAATCACAAGTGACAAAGGCTCCAGATCAACTTGGGAATAGAAACTTACTTGGACTGCATGGCTATTTATTGCGTATGCGGTATGCCACGTGGAACATGTTCGAGAAATGCAGTATTTGAGAGATCAAATGTTAATTCTCCAATATTGACACACTGAATAACCAAGAAAGTGCCACGGAACGATGTCCTGTTCAATGAGAAGATACGTTGCGATCATGGTGCTCCAGGGCTGTATAAACACTCTCCCCTATCATAGATCTGAGATGGAAGATATCCTAAGTAAAGAAGGATGCGACGGGGAAATTGGCGTCGAGACTGTTCGCTTTCGTGAAGCCCCAACGAGCTCGATTGATGCGTCGGTGGAAGGGGGTGCCCAATGCACGGGTATGGTTGTTGTTGTTGTCCAGTGCTGACAGAATATTGAGCCATATGGTGGTCGAAACAAATTACTCGAACCTGTTTGAATTATGGTAGCCCCTTTGGTCGGCCCCCATAGACACCAAGGCAAACACTTTGGGCTGGCTGCCTTGCCTCAGCAAAATACGCGCTCACGAAAATGGCATTCGTGATGGAATCGTTCGTTGCGGAATAAGAAAATTGCATTTAGTTTATGAGTTATGCAGGGCCTCTGAGCAACACATCTGAGGAGCACTATGTAAGCATAAAGATGGGGGTGATGGACAATAGTATAGCACATTTGTGAAAGCCTTGTAGGATGTGACCAAGCCATGTGGCGGGAAAAGACGTATGACTGCTCGAATCTTTCCGAGGGATAGGCAACATTCGTTTCGCTCGCAGAACCGTAGTCTTCCCGCTCGCCTCTCAGTCTCTCAGAAAGTAAAGCAAACCGGCAATATTCGAACAGTGTTGATCAAATTTCTGCTCCAATAGACGCGCAGGCTCAATCAGCTTGCACCATTCCACATGAAGCATCAGGCAGTTCTGAGGCCTCCACTGGAGGTATGCCTAATTTAATCTGCTCATGTACTGTATGAGAATTTAGGACAATGTGCATGAAAGCCTATGCTTATGCTGATGACACAACTAGGATATGAAAGTGGAAGTGTGCATACTCGGATGCTCCCTGTCCGAACGAGGGAGGGGATGGCCAGGTGAGTTGAGCTGTGCCTGGCAAGTCGCCAGGAAAAACAACAACAAAACTTATGAACGTGATGGTTCGCCATTGGCCGCTCGGCCTGCCATCATATGAGGGGCTTGGGTGAGGCTGACGTGCTTCTGGAGCCAAGTCAGACCTTGGGGCAACCTGTTGAGGCTAATGGGTGGGAAATGGGCGTCGTAGGGATCAGGTGTTGAGAGATTCACCAAAGCCTGCACAGCCTGAGGTATCTTTCGCATGTGAAATCGCGATGCCTCCCTTGCATTCCAGCTTGATTTCTTGTTATGGCGATGTCGTGGAGCGGCTGGCTAAGCCTCCCTTGACAGGCCAGTCCTCGGTTCATTTCGGGTCATGTGTGGTGTTCCAAGAGGGGTGGCTCTGCTCGAAATGCCAAGCTGTGGGTGTAGACAGGTTGCTGGAAGTACCGTCATGTGCCGTCATGTCCTTCGATCTCGCGTTGACTCACGTGATTTGAGTTGCCATGTAGGTCGAAGCTCAGCACAAGTGGTTGACCACGGAGCTGACTTGAGAAGAGATCTTGTATGGCGAATCTGTTGTAGAACAGAAGGCGGAAGTATTATGGAAAGAGTATGGGGGTTAAGCGAGTGTCGAATCAAAGGACAGCGTAAGGAAATAGAAAACTCAAGAGAGGATCCCCTCCAAAGGTTTGGTAGATGAAGGTAAAGAGAAGGAGGAGACGCATGCAGAGGCAGGTGAAGAAGCTGCCATTATATCACATTGACCTGAACCCAGGACAACGCAACGTATAGTAAGCCTCCGAAGGGTTCCGCGATAGTTGATGCAGAGGAATTGCCTCTTCCTGGACTGTGTCCAATAGACTCTCGGGCTTCAAGACAACTTCATGACGGTTCTTTCTCTTCGGCCAAGACATCCGTGGACATCCAAGTTAGGGGTGACTTTCTTTTCCGGATTTGGCTAGAATCAAGCTGCTTGTTTGAGATCAGAGACATCACAGCCTTCAGAGGCAGTGAGAGGTATGTTGTCCATTTGCCCCCTCATGGCAGGTGCCGACTTTCCTTACAACAGGGCTGGCTATTTCAAGTCAGTCTTGACGGTAAGCTGTCTCAATTCTAAGACACGACTCCGCTTTTGTGGCGTGAGAGATCCCCTGTCACTATCGTGCATGTGCTGCTAACGTTTAGTATGAAAGACGACCTGAAATGGAATGAGCTGATTTGGGCTTCCGTCCATGCAGAGGATTTTGAACCCAGGTTGTACGCTTTCTGGGCCTGGGGGGGATAGGAATGGGCTTCGGAGTTGTTCTCAATCTCGTCTGTCTAGGTTTACGGTAGCTTCGCGCAATGTAAAAAGTGTTTTGTCCTCACGGCACTGGCCGTTGTAGCGTTCATGCATATTCTCGACAAGCCAAGTATTCAGGTGGAAGATTATTAGATTTGGGCCAAATGTGTCTTGATTATCGTCTGCGAGTTTTTCCCGCATAGCGTATTCAACCACGCAGTCCCACCACAGACTTTGGCTTCATCACTTCTGACTTTCGGTCGCATCATCGGCAATACCGATCACAGCACATCAATAACAGATTCATAGTTTAATTTGCTCTACTAGTTCCTGCCACCGTTCCACTACTAGAAAGGGAAGGGTAACATGAAAGACACAGAATACAAGTGGAAGGAAATTGCAAAGCTGAAAATAGAAAGTAAAAAGACATCCATCCGCAATCATCACAGCTCTTGTGTTCCATTTCCATCAAGTGGCCTTCTCGTAGGCTCTCGACGTCAACATCACCGTAGTTCTCGGTTGCTTCCATCTTGTTGTGCACCAACAGCCATCAAATGTATCATTTACTCTGTGCTCCTCACCTCTCAGATGATAAAAACGTCCACTTTGCCGGATTCCATGCTGATAGTTTGTTTCGTAGATTGCTATAGACCAATAAGTAGAAGTATTCCGATGCTGAACCATGTGGCTTGACTTATACCTTTTCGAATTATCCATTTTTTCTGCGGTATTTGCTTGCTTCGTGTCAGGGTAGAATGAATCCCCACAGTCCTGTTGCCCGTCTTCGAGCATGGGTTGACAGTATCCGTACCGATTTGATTGTGCGTCCTCAGTCCTGCGACATTCTGGCCGTCGCCAAATCGAATGAGGCTGATATTTCCGAATCGCTCAGTGCATCGTTTGCGTCTAGATCATCGTTACTAATATCGCCGGCACGCAGAGCGCGTTGGTCGTGAAGGGCACTTGTCAACTACCAGCAGTTCCTATACCTTACTGAAGTCACAAGGGGGAAATGAGTCTTCTAGTACAAGCTTCACAATTTGTCATGCGTTCCTACAGTACTGCACCAGTCAATAAAACCAGCTTACCACGTGTGTTGTAAAGTTGTAGTTCATATGGCTTCAGGAATCAGTCATTGTATTGGGTCCAACTTAAGTGGTCGGAACCCAGTATCTCCACTCAAAAGAGGTCAAAGATGTTGCTGCGATCTCATTTGAAAACCAATATTCATCGATTTTGTGTCCTCTCACACTTTCTGATATGATCAAACAGAATCCGGACTTAAGCAATTGGATTCAAGGCCTTTTTGACAAACCCGCTCAGCATTTTGAGTCTTTGGCCGGCTCCTCAGTTTTACCTTCGGCGCCCAGGTAGCTTTGACTGTGGAGAAGAACTTTCTTAGCAGCTTTTAGTGACGTTCTAGGGGTAGCTCTTGTTTAAGGTGTGCAATAAGCTCAGGAACTACAAGCACCCACGGACCTTGGTGCGGAGATCTTGAAACGCATCCTTGAAACATCGAGGCCGCCGCACCAAGAGCCTCCCGACTGCCTCCGACAGTTTCCTCAAGTAACGTCAGTTTCTTTCTCATTTCATCTCTTTTCAATCAATCTCATCGGTGCTCATCATGAAGTCGTTTCTGCTGCTCGCCTCATGGGCATTCTGTGCAATCGCACAGAAGCACCACCTCAAAACCCAAGTCCCAATCGCCGACCTCTGTGCGGCAAGCCCGCTGTTCCCCGACTACTCGCTGGCATGTGGGAAGACCTCAATCTGGGAGGCGCAAGCACCTCCCCTCGTCGGAATCGCCAACAACCGGACGACTAAGCAGCCCAAGAAGGACATCTGGCGTTCGGACGAAGGGTGGCATGGTCCTCACTCTTGCGCGGGTGCTTACTGCGCGTATTCGCGGCCGTCCTTTTCCAATGGTCGTGGAATCGTCCTCGTGAGCACAGCGTACAATGCCGAAGAGGCATCGCACATATCGGCTTTCACGAAGCCAGCGCGAGATGAGGAGCAGGGTGACAGTACTCTGTTTCGCATCGTTGAGATGCCAGGGAAGGGGCTGGGGGTCGTCGCAAATCAGCACATCAAGAGAGGACAGCGCATCATGGCTCATCCGCCAGCCGTCGTTATCCATCGGCGGTTCATTGACGATGTTGACTTGGACAACCAGTACAGACTTCTTGATGTTGCCGTGAGCCACCTGCCTGAAGACACCCGCAAGATCTTTTTGGAGCAGATGGGGCAATCTGGCGGGCACAAAGTTCACGATATCATTCACACCAACTCGTTTGAACTGAGGCTCGGTATCAGAGATGGTCATCACTTCGGAAACTACCCTGAAGTTTCTCGATACAATCACGACTGCAGACCGAAGTAAGTAATGCCAAAAAATTGACATAACTATTGTTATCTGACAAGAATAGTGTCGCCTTTTACATCGATTCGGATCTTCGGCACTACACCCATGCGGTGAGAGACATCAAGCCCGGCGAAGAGCTCACAATCTCTTACGTGGACTCGCTCAGCTCACGACAAGTCCGTCAAGACCGTGCGAAGCGCAACTGGGGCTTCGGCTGCACCTGCAACCAATGCAGCCTCCCGCCGCCTTTGGTCCGCGATTCTGACAACCGTCTGTACCGCATGTGGCAGATTGAGCAGGACCTTAGCAATTGGAACTTTCCCAACTTCGAGGAGGACATGATCGAGCTGCTCATCACCCTCTACGAGCAAGAGCGTCTAGATGAGTCCCACGGCTACGAAGCTTACAGGCTCGCTGGCTTGAACTACAATTCAATTAAGAACAGAGAGAAGGCTGCGGAGTATGCTAAGAAGGCCGTTGAGCAGTTGCTGCTGGAGAAAGGACCAGAGGCGAAAGAGCTTGCCGATATGAGAGCGCTGGCACACAGGCCTGACCAACACTGGAGTTGGGGAAAGAGAAAATAGGCGAGTACAAATCTTGTATTAGCGATTGATAGTTAAATGTGAAGTTGCAGCCAATGAGTTGGTCTGATTTTCCAATTTCTTGTTAAGAACCAACAACCAACAACCAATCAAGCGCCATATCCCGGACTACATGCGTATGCACGTATATCAGAAGGAAGAAAGATGGAAATTGTTTGGTCACACATTTGCCAAACCCCTTTGCCGCTCTGAAGCTAGTACCCACATGTTACTATGTGCGAATATGCCGGCATAGTTGGACTCCCTCCATGGTGTGTCCGGCTTTGCAAGACACCAGTCGAAATTCCGGATCAACTGCAGAAGCATTATTAGCTAGTAGCACAATTCTTTTGCATGGAACACTCCTCTCTTACCTCAAAGACAGTCTTGCCAATCTCCATCATGGCAATTGGCCTACCGAGACACTGGTACTTGCCGTATCCAAACACAAGCTCATGGACTTTGTTCATGGTCGCAAGTTTGCTTTCGTTCGTCTCGAGCAACCAACGTTCCGGCCGAAACTCTTCAGCATCCTCCCCGAAGATGTCCTTGCTGAGATGCAGAGGCCACACCGCATAGTTTACGTTCGTTCCACCGGGAAGAAACACGGCTCTTCCATCAATGATGACTGTATCGCCCTCATCAGGCACCCGTTTCGGTACCGAATCAGTAACAGGTGGATGGACGCGCATGCCTTCTTTGATGACAGCCTGCAGATATTCTAGCTTCCTGGCGCTGGCATCCGAGATGACACCTGAAGCATCGTGCACTTGTTTGTCCGCATGGTATGCATCAATTTCAGCTTGCAGCTTGGCATAGACGCGAGGATGGGTAAGGAGGTATAACATCACCACCCGCAGCGACGCAGCAGTTGTGTCCGATCCAGCAATCATCTGCAGCGTCGCCTCGGACACAATGTCGTCCTCATCCATTCCGTGCCTGATGAACGAAGCAATCATGTCAGACTTCTTTTCCGTATCGCGGGAGAGGCGCTCTTTGATGATTGCTCTGCCGTTGGCAGTCATTCTGCCATACCCCGAGGGGTCGGTCTCCTTGATACCAATGTAACGCGCGACAAAGGGGTTCTGCAAGACTTTATACAGACCCAGGGCGATAATGGCAGTGACCGCTGTCAAGCCTTCCTCAGCTGACCTAGCAATGTCGTAGGCATCCGAGTCTGAGCTCAGGTCACCAAAGGGAGTGCCGAAGCTAATGTGGCTGATGACGTCGAGCGTCAGGTATTGAATCTTTTGAGAAAGGTCCAAAGGTCTTGCTGAAGCGTCTGTTGAGAGGTACTTTGACCGAATGAGGTCGAGTAGTTCAGAGACATGGGTGTCGACTGAATCTTCCAGCGCAAGATTCTCCTTTCCAGAGTACTGATAATCTTGTTAATAGAGTAAAGTGATGTTTGCTTTTTCCTGCTTACCCCAGCACCTAGTTTTGCCCTCAGCTGCTTATGTTTCTCTTCATCCATTTCGCTAAAGACATGATCCTTGTCAGGCCGGACGCGACAGGCGCGATAGAACCACTCAGTCCGGGTGTATGGTGAACGGACGGCGCTCATGTGCAGCAACAGTTCCGGCGACGATGTGACCAGGTCATTAGGTCCGATGCGCACGATAGACCCTTGAAAGTGTTAGCCTCGCATCACAGGACATATGGCTGTGAGTCCGACGTACCGTACTTCTTGCACACCTCATGATACTTCAAATGGGACTTGAAGCTCAGGATAGCAAAAACATGCCAAATCTCAGACCATCCCGAAATAAAAGGGCCGTTGAAAGCCTTGAGTCGGTTGTATGCTCGAACTTTCTTTCCAACATACACCGCCAGCAGAACACCCAAGACTGCCCACCGAAGGTCGTACAAGTGAGAAATGACAGTCATGACTGCAGAATGAGACACATGCAAGCATGCGAAAGACAGAAGCACAACTGCGTCCTGGGACCATGGACTCGGGACACCTCTTCATACTTATCAAACCCTCGCGTATACATGCCCGTTCACATCCTTTTCCTGGCTTCCATGAGGGGCTCGCCCCCGGATGGCGTTCTCATCACACACAACGTGGCTTTCCCGCTTGCCCAGTCGGGATCCATCACGCTACCATCGCCCACTCTAGCCGACGCCCTAACGCCCGTTGATACCGCTCAGCACCAGCCTGTCAAGAAATGCCACAAATTGTGACGTGACGATACCGACTGGTCGATGGCTAATATGCTGGTATTGCCGAATGCAGCCAAGCGGACGACGGGGGGTCAGCAGCAAGGCAAGCCCCAGCCAAGCCGGCCAGCACACTGCGACTCCGACGGACGGAATGTCGCATTCCCAATTTTCGAGGTGCCTTAGTCGGGTCGGTACGACGTGCATTGCATTGCAGCGCGCCCAATAGCGCCGCTGGGTTCCAATTAGTGCGAATGGGAACCGCACCGCGACCGCGAACATCCATTATCGTCGAGGATGGGCTTACGGGGAGCTGGGAGGAGGGGGGGAGGGCTAATGCACCGAATCGGGGTCATCACAGGTATTGCCGCTTCACCGGGAATGGAGCCAAGGTGGGGTGGAGGAGGAGGGGATTTTCGTGCCCAAGTCATGAAATCCTACTGCAGGCGTATGAGGAGGGGGCTTGAGACTCGTCGTAGCTAGTCTTGGCAAGCTGTCGTGATGCTCTCTTCTCGTAGCCTCGTTCCCAGTGAAACCGGTCCAGATGACCCTCTCCGAATGCGAGGTGTTGTACTGGATTTTTGCAATGAGAGGCGGAGCCCGTTTGGGTATGGGTCTCTCAATCCTTCACCGTAGATCATCAGAAATTCTGCCCGAATGCCAGAGCGAAGGCTGTTTCACTCATTCTCCTATCGCCGACTCACCGGATGCATGCACAGTCAGGGGTCAAACTCTAGCTTTGCATAAGCTTAAGACATCACCGACTAGTTGGAGCCAGGTTGTGCAGCAAATCACTGATTCCAGAAAGTCCTTCTGACGTGTGATGCATTAGGTTCAGTCTATTTTTCAAATTGTAATCTTGTAATCATCTGTCATAACATCCTATACCCTGTCATACACGACTGTGGTGCCTTGAAACGCCAACGACTCCAAATTTCCATCAAGTGAATTATTTACTCCTGGGCGGAGTTGAGAATATTGGCACCAGCCTTCTTCTTCCTGCGGCGATCCCTGCGGCCAGCGGGGGGAGTGACTTGAGGAGGAGGGCTGTTGGGGGCCGGGACAACGGCGACGGGCACAGCCGGGGCCGGGGCCGGAGCCGGAGCGGCGGCTGGGGGTGCCGGTGCCGGAGCAGCGGCGGGAGGAGGAGAAGCAGGAGCGCCAGCAGCAGGCTCAGGCTGAGTAGGGTTCGCAGCCTCAGGCCAGCCAGCAGCAGGTTGCTCGGCGGATGGCTGGGCATTAGGATCGGCGGGCACAGCAGCAGCAGGTGGTGCGGCAGGTGCAGCAGCTGGGGGAGCAGCAGCTGGGGGAGCGGCAGCAGGCGGGACAGGTGCTGCGGCAGGAGGAGCAGGAGCAGCAGGCGCCGGAGCAGCAGCCGGGGGTGCACCAGCAGCTGGGGCCGCGGGAACAACAATGCCTGGCGCAGGAGCAGGAGCGGGAGCCGGGGCAGCAGCTGGGATGACAGTGACAGGAACTGCCTGGACAGCGGGCTGGGAGTAGGCGGCGATACCCTGATCGAGGACGTTCTCAAGCTGAGCTCTGTCCTCCTCGGCGATTCTCTGTCCAACTCTGGGGACCTTCTCTTCAAGCGCGGCAGTGAGAGCCATGGTGGAAATCTTCTGCCTTTGGAGAGAATCCAAGGCAACACCGCTCACGCCCAGGTTGTCAAGAACAGGCTTCCTTGAGACGAGATCAGAGACCGTGGTGGTCGTCTGATCGAGGAGACCATCGGTGATGCGGCGAAGCCTGGCAGCTCTGATGGCACCAAGGCTTCCGGATTGCTGGATCTGAAGAGTGGCCTGGTTGGTAGTGGCCTCAGCCTGCTGAGAGAAGACGAGGAGGTTGTTGGCAGTGACCGGACCGCCATCAAGAGCAAGGACGGCGGCGTCAACCTGGGCAAGTGACTGGGAGACCGGAGCAAGAGCAGCCTCGATGTCGTCGAGGTTGTCGCGAGCCTTGATAGAGTTAACCGGCGCAGTGGCGATGATCGCCGACTGGCTCAGGAGGGCAATGACCAGAGGAAGGGTAAACATTGTGAAGAAGGTTGGATGGCAGACAAAGGGTCTTGAGAGTTTGTGGAGATATAGCGTAGCTTTGGAGGCAACCAAGCTTCTTGACTTTGTTTTCCTTGTCTGATGCTCCAAAAGAAAAGGTTCTGTCGTCGGGAGATCGAATGGGTTTATAACCTTCGTTCGGGCTGTCTGTGATGATGAGGAGCTTGGATCATGATTAGGACCATGATAGAGTAGATGCAATGTCGTTAGCTCCTGTCAGACTCGGCAGACGCAGACCGTGAGACACTTCCGTGAACTGAATCTGGTGAGGACCCGTGGTCTACAGCTGGTGATCGATGTAGACTGCACTTGAGTCTGGCCTGGACCTTCGCAACTCTGCGTCCCCGACGCTGTTGTCGACTGTCGGGCGGGCTGTCAGAGTCCGTGTTTGACGTCCGTGTCTCTCGGCCGGGAGGTACTCGAAGGTTTCTACACCCACTCTTGACAGCGGAACAATACAAAAGTACTCAACGGCTGTCCGCCGGCTTCCGAAAAGGGAACAGACTTCTGTATCCGGGGGAAGGTCTTGATCTGTGCGAGCAGCTCCCCGCAGGAAGGGTAGGCAAGCTGCCGATGCATCAGGGATGCGGCCCTAGCAAACCTCGTGCGGTGAGGGCCGCAGGTAGGCATGAAACCAGATCCTGTCTCTTCCTAGAGGCAGACAACAGGGTCGGCAGCAGGCGACAGGTCGGGGAGTTTCCCAAGAGGCCATCCCAGGGCAAGCTGTCATACGCCAAATCATGGGATGAACGTCGAGCTTAGTCCAATGAGGGACTAGACTGTGCGTCCGGGGACGCAAGATGGAAGCACGAGCGCGTTTCGACGGTGTAAAGTGATTGTGAGGGGATCTTGAGTGATAAGGTCCCAGTGTATGCAGTCAAGAGCTCGGGCACAGCTGCGCCTCCTAAGGCACCAGCAAAGCAGCGACAGTAGTCGATATGCTCGTCAACCCTATTTCGCGGACAGCTGCAGTGCGTCGACGCCAGTCCGATGTTTTGGTGCTCGCGGCACGTCCCCGCAGACTGCCATCGACGAAGCCCTATTGGATATCAGCCTCGTGGAAACAGGTTGTGATAAGGTGTCCGGCTGCGCAGCCCGAGAGGTTCATAGCTTGTTGCCATCGCCAAGGACATAGCTCCCCGACCCTTGTGATCATAGCTTTGTCAGGTTGACAGCATGTAAGTCAGCCAGGGCCATCTCAGGAAGATCGGATCGTTGCAGTTGCCTTTACAGACAAGACATGGAAGATCTGGCCGGCCTCATCCACCATGAACTTTGGTCAAGAGACTTTGCGATAGTTCTTCCCATGTTGATGATGGATGCAACAAGCCTTTTGACGTTGCCGAACCATAACCTTGAGGTTATTTGCAGCATCCATCTATAAGCGTGATGTTTCCCTTTCGCCTCCTGCATGAATTACAAATGGCTGGATCTGCAGAAACGCTGCCAAAATGGCATTCGGTATGCACCTGCACGAAAGACGCAAATGGACCAGCGTGCAGAGCTCACTGCATAGCGCCATCGATACTGAGCTTCCTAACTGGGTACCGAGAAGCCCACCAGCGACATCTCACGCGGGCACCTGGAGGACGGTGATGAGTCAGACCGAATGGCTTCCGTCGCCCGTGGAATCCATGGATCGGGGACCCACCGGTGTCACCAGGCCGGCGTCCCCGCTTCTCTAGGCAGCGTACTACCATGACCGAAGAGGTCAGTACTTGAAGGCTCCGTATCCGCGACTGGAGTAGAAACCGAGACTTCGACCCGAACACGACCTGGGATAAAGCAGACGTTGGAGAAGTTCGCCGTTGCAAGCATGCCAATCGACGTCCAGCCCATCGTTGCAGCCGATCTCCGGCGCTGCGCCGAAATCGAGCACGACGCGTTCGCAGAAAGCCCATCCTATCCTGTGCTGTTTCCCGGGCCCTTGCCAGACGATCCCCTGGCGCTCCGAGTCGAGGGCCTGGAGAAGGAGCTTCGGGAGGATCCGACCGTGCGCTTCCTCAAGGCTGTGGACACAGAGCTTCAAGGCGACGAGGCGATTGTGGCATGGGCCAAGTTCAACAGTTATCCGGAGGGACTGCCGGTGCCCAAGCCACGTGTACCACCGCCAGGATCCAACGCTGAGGCGTGCACAGCATTGTTTGTTGGCATAGACAAGATGCGGGAGCGTTTGATGACAGGCAAGCCGTGTGTCTGTAAGTGGCCACTACTCCACCCGTCAGACTGGCTGTCAGACTGGCGCAACGACGACTGACGACTAATGCGGGACGAAGACTTGCACATCCTGGTGACAGATCCAAAGCACCAGAGACGGGGTGCTGGGCTGCAGTTGATGACCCCGCTGATGCAGGAAGCAGTCAGGCTGGGCGTGCCCGCGTACCTGGAGTCCTCTGTGCCTGGGCATCGGCTTTACCAAAAGGCAGGGTTCCGTGATATCGATGAGCACCGGGTGGACTTTAGCAAGTTTGGGCAAGAAACGCCTCATCTAAACTGGGCGATGATCTGGGAGCTGCCGAACCGGAGGTGCCCATGAAGTCTCAAGAAGGCCATGATCTCGTCGGGGAGCGTCAAGTCGCCTGGGGCGTGTCTCTCAGGGCGCGTCGTATCACGGCGGTCTCCCAAATGGCCGAAGAGGGGTTTATCGCCGATGACCTCATGGACCGGCGATAGATGTGAGCTGCTTTGAACGGTCGAACGTTGGATTTGAACGGGAGGAAACACATCCGTAGTTGATCTCAAGAAGAGAAAGAGCTGTCAATCCAATCGCTCCTCCCCGATGTGCAGGGACCTTCGTACTGTGCGCAATGTCACGCATTCTACACTGCTTCTTTACATACTTTTCATCAGAGTCGGACAGTGCGACAGATTCTGCAGATAAGCAGTGTCCAAGTGTCCGGCCAAGTCGGGAGCCCGGCGCGTCCAGTGGCCAATGCGTAAGGCACGCTGCTGGATGTGCACTGTGACCCTTTCCCGGCAGCTCTCCGCAGTGAGGTGGGCGGCGGCGGGTGCAGCAGTGGCCTGCACTTCAGTGATCGCGCTGCTGGAGGCAGGTCGTGGCCCCACCTTTGTCACTGAATTGATGATGAAATCGACCTCAGCGGGCTGCAGCAAGTGGCCCGGACGTTCTTGCTAAACTCCGACGCAGCAGCACCGACCTCACCAAATCGCCCATCTCGACATTCTCCATGGGCCGCAACTCTGGGATAGAGCTCCCACTTCACAAAGCTCACAGACCGCCGCAATGTCTTACGTAGCGCCCATCCATCGGCCCAGCAGCATACGCCATGCATTGAGACTGCGGCTGACAGAAGACGAGGAAAGCTTGGTGGTATCGTAAGTCTGCCCTGCCTCTGCGTTTGCCTTTGCCCCTCCATCTGCGGGACAACCTCGAGATAGCTATCGCGACAGTCGTTTTTCTGCCCTCCACATGCTAACCTCCTCCAAGGAGATCAAACAGGCTGGAAGTATGGCGCGTCACGCCCACCGACATGTTCATGCTCGGCTCCGTCTCCATTTACGGGACAGTCCTCCTCCTCCAACACCTCACTCCGAAAGACTCCAAGACCGACCTGTTGTTCGTCGGCACCGACCGATTCCAATACTTCACGGCAAGATGGGACTCTGATCTCCAGAGACTCGTCACTGAGCAGGTCATTGAGGACAGTGGAGAACCGCACATGCGCGAGGCCCAGAGTCAGGACAAGTGCTTGGTCGACCCCTCTGGCAGGTTCATGGCCATGCACCTATGGGAGGGTGTCATGAACGTCATGCGCCTAGGAGCTCGGGCTCCCCATGCTTCGCGTCTAGACCCTCTGTGGGAGCAAGTCCGTTTGTCGGAGCTCTCCATGAAGGCCAGCACCTTCGTGCCCACTGAGACCGGCCACCCCACCATTGCTTTCTTGTACCAGAGTAAGATCGACAAGGAGGATGCGAGGTTGGCAATCTACCGCCTCATGAGCGATGACAGAAATACCAAGACTTCAAATTTCGATGCCGAAAAGGATAGAGAGCTCGACATGGAAATCCTGGACCCTTACGCGAGGATACTCATTCCCGTCAGTGTCGAGGAGGACCAGGTCAAGCGCTACCACAAGAGGGACACATCAGCGGCAAAGGCGCAGCTTGGCGGTCTGATTGTTGTCGGGGAGACTCTTCTTGTCTATGTCGACACTCTCACGAAAACAAAGGTGTCTGCTGGCATAGACAATCCGACTATTTTCGTTGCCTACGCCGAGTACGATGTCAGGAACTATTTCCTTTCCGACGACTATGGCAACTTACAACTTCTCACCATTGACACCGACGGCGTCGTGGTCACGGGGCTGAGAGTCACACATCTTGGTCTTACATCTCGGGCATCTTGCCTGGTCTACTTGGGGGACGGCATGCTCTTCTTGGGGTCCCACTACGGCGACTCGCAATTACTCAAAGTCGACGTCACCGCCGGCTCCGAAACAACACAAATTGTCCAAACAATACCCAATATTGCACCTATCCTTGATTTCGCCATAATGGACCTGGGTAATGCTGGTGATAGCCAAGTCGGCAATGCCTTTTCGTCAGGCCAAGCCCGTATCGTTGCGGGTTGTGGTGTACATCAGAACGGCAGTTTGCGGAGCATCAGGAGCAGTGTCGGTCTTGAGGATATTGGCGTTCTAGAGGATTTGAGTGACGTTCGTGGACTCTTCTCTCTTCGGTCTAACGGCTCGGACAAAGATGATACTCTGGTTGTCTCTTTCATCACCGACACAAGAGTCTTCAGGTTCGATGCAGAGGAGGGCATCGAGGAGGTCTTTCAATTCCAAGGTCTTGAACTAGACAAACCTACACTAATCACGTCAACCCTGCCGAACGGTCAATTGCTTCAAGTCACAGCCAACAGCGCTGCGCTACTTGATCCTGAAGGGGGCATCACGCTAAGCACTTGGTCAGCGCCAGAAGGCAAAGTCATTGTCAATGCATCATCTAATGCCAAATGGGTTCTGCTCTCCATCGATGGAACCACACTGGTCTCGTTGAACCTCTTGGAGAATCTTGCAGCTCGGGAGCAAGTGCTGGGAAGTGGAGTAGGCGGAGAAGGCGACCAGATCTCGTGTATTCATGCCGCAACGGACTTGGATAATATCGGTGTCGTGGGCTTTTGGGCCACAGGCTCCATATCCATCATTGACCTGCAGACGCTTGATGCTTTGCACGGTGAAACCATCAAGCAGACCGACGACAGCGTTTCAGTACCCCGGAACATTGCTCTAGTGCAGCTGCATCCGCCACATCTGTTGGGCCCTACTCTCTTCGTCTCGTTGGAAGACGGGCAGGTGGTGTCCTTCGATGTTTCGAAAGACAACTATTCGTTGTCCGGCAGAAAAAGTGTCATTCTTGGCAGCAAACAAGCAGGCCTTCATATCCTTCCGCGGCCTGACAGCGATGGTATTAGCAACGTCTTCGCTACCACAGAGCACTCAAGCCTCATCTACAGCTCAGAGGGGCGCATAATTTACTCAGCGGCAACGGCGGAGGACGTCACCTACATCGCGCCATTCGACTCGGAGGCGTTTCCTGATGCTATTGTTCTCGCCACTGATAAGAATGTTCGCATTGCGCATATTGATGTCGAAAGGCGAACACACGTCAATCCACTTCCCCTGCGCCAGACGGTACGCAGAGTAGCCTACTCACCGGCGTTGAAGGCTTTCGGCATCGGCACCATTCGGAGAGAACTGTTCAACAACGAGGAGATGGTCACAAGTTCCTTCCAATTAGTTGACGAAATTGTCCTCGGCGTGGTCGGGAAGCCCTTCCATCTTGACGGCGCCGCTACAACGGAATTGGTTGAAAGCGTTATCAGAGCCGAGCTTCCGGATAGCTCTGGCCAACCTGCGGAGAGATTTATCGTGGGCACTAGCTATCTCGCCGATCCAGAGATGGATGAGAATAGTGAGGTTAAAGGACGTATCTTAGTCCTCGGGGTCGACTCTGATAAGAACCCGTACCAAATCGTTAGCCATGAGCTGAAGGGTGCATGCCGAAGTCTCGCTGTGATGGGCGACAAGCTTGTTGCTGGCCTCAGCAAAACCGTGGTCGTGTACGATTACGCGGAGGAGTCCTCAACATCAGGATCGCTCGTCAAACTGGCTACTTTCCGACCATCCACGTTTCCTGTGGATCTCGATGTCAACGGCAACATGATTGGCGTCGCCGATTTGATGCAGTCGATGACACTTATCGAGTTTATTCCGGCCCAGGAGGGTAACAAAGCACGACTCGTCGAGCGGGCCCGCCATTTCCAGTACATCTGGGCTACCGCGGTTTGCCACTTAGAGCAAGACTTGTGGATTGAGGCAGATGCACAGGGCAACCTCATGGTGTTGCGCAGAAACCCCAATGCACCAACAGAACACGACAAGAAGCAGATGGAAGTCATCAGCGAATTCCACCTCGGCGAGCAGATTAACAAGATTCGGCCACTTGACGTCGTCTCCGGCGAGAACGACCCGATTGAACCGAAGGCCTTTCTCGCAACGGTAAGCATCTGCGATCAGATTCATACATAGCTATAGCTGCTAACGTCACCTTAGGTTGAGGGATCAATATACGTCTTTGCAGACATCAAGCCCGAATACCAGAGTCTGCTACTGCAATTCCAGGAAAGGCTTGCGGGGGTGATTAAGACCCTCGGCCAAGCAGATGAGCCTGGAGCTGGACTTTCATTCATGTCGTGGCGAGGTTTCCGGAATGCCAAGCGGTCCGCGGATGGACCTTTCCGCTTCGTCGACGGCGAGCTGATTGAGCGATTCCTGGACCTGGACGCGGGGAGACAAGAAGCTGTAGTCCAGGGGCTGGGTCCGACAGTTGAGCGCATGAGAGACTTGGTAGAGGAGCTGAAGCGTATGCACTAATGTGTAGTATGCATATGTACAATAGTAGATGCAGGATATCGGGACGACGTCAAGGACTAAGGCCGTCACACCAGGTGACGCTGAATAAGATGAAATACAGACATTTAAAATCCAACAGACAACCAAACCGTATGAAAGAAGCAGCGATCTCAATTGGCATCCAATCGTTGTTCCAGTGGACACGGGTGAAGGGAGCATTCAAGGTCAAATTTTGTCCAACTTGGCAATCGGCTAATGGGGGCATTGCAACTATCAAGCATAACTCGATCACCACTCGTGCCACCCGGAAAGGGCCGGGACTCTGGTGCCCCCACCAGCCAATCATCAAGCACCAATTTCACAACGTTCTGCCTCAGGCCGCCAGCCCAGAAAGCTTTCGGCAATCCTCAAACCACAGCATCACGAAAAAAGACGCTCACTTGCCCAAACGTCATCCCTCTCCAATTGCATCTCGCAACAACCACCAACCCTCTCCCCTCCACCCTCCCGAATCTCTCGAGATGGCGCCCCTCGCACACGCTTCCCGCACCTGCCTGCGGCAACTGGCGCGAAGCAGCCCCTCCGCGACGGCTGCGCGCGCCCTCAGCACCTCGGCCGCCCGGAACGACGCCACTGCCACGAGCTACTCGAGCCCCTTCAAGGGCGCCCAGAAGGGCAGCCAGATCCCCGACTTCAGCAAGTACATGAGCAAGGGCTCTGCTCAGGGCAACCACCTCATCTCATACTTCATGGTCGGCACCATGGGCGCCATCACCGCCGCCGGCGCGAAGTCCACCGTCCAGGGTACGACAGCCTTCTTTCCCCACGAGTCACCGGACAAACAAACCGACGATCGAGACGAGGAAATGGTTGGGGGGAATGTTTTTTGGGCGAGCATTGGCTGACGGGTGGTTTCAATTGCAGAGTTCCTCGTCAACATGTCCGCCTCCGCCGACGTTTTGGCCATGGCCAAGGTCGAGGTTGACCTGAACGCCATTCCCGAGGGCAAGAACGTGAGTGGCCTGGTGCTAGGTTCTGCAGTAGGGCCAGCGGGAATTGTGACTGACAATCCGGACCGCAGGTTATCATCAAGTGGAGAGGCAAGCCCGTCTTCATCCGCCACCGCACCCAGGCCGAGATCGACGAGGCCAACAAGGTCTCCGTTGCCTCTCTCCGTGACCCCCAGGCCGATGACGACCGTGTCAAGCAACCCGAGTGGCTTATCATGTTGGGTACGTGATCCCCGATCTGAACGGATTTTCGCACTTCCTCGGCTTTCGGATATCCGGGCCATCGAGGCCCGCTGGGACGGGATATCTGGGCCCTCGTGACCTCAGCTAGATGCGAACCTGTCAAGAAGAGCCGCAAACTAATGTTTCTACCCCACAGGTGTCTGCACGCACTTGGGTTGTGTGCCCATCGGCGAGGCTGGTGACTACGGCGGTTGGTTCTGCCCCTGCCACGGTTCTCACTACGATATCTCCGGCCGTATCAGGAAAGGACCCGCCCCCCTCAACCTCGAGATCCCCGAATACGAGTTCCCCGAGGAGGGCAAGCTGGTCATCGGTTAAGCACCACCTTTGTACGAGTATAAAACGGATGATGAGAGGGACAGGAGAGAGAGCCACGCCGCAGCCCGCAGGTCCCCCCTTCGCGGGGGATGCGGTGTGGATGGCAGCAACAACAACCAACTAGAGAACACTTTTTTCTTTTTTTGCATCGGAGACGACCAATGGTGCTTGGGGTTTGGGTTCCAAGAGAGTCAAAGAGAGAGGTCTTTTCTTTTTTCTTAGACGTGTCCCCGGGCAATGATGCCAATGTACAAAAGTCACAGAGCGTCCAGGAACAATGAGTAGCCTCGCAACTTCATAATAGCCATGCCGGGTCAGGTTTGTGATGTGCCGTGTGGGATGTGACTGGCTGACTGACAGTGGACGGGACAGCTGGGTGCATGATGGAAAAGATGACAAGATGACAGGCCCGGGAGTCAATACGATCGACGGCAGTAATCGGATGAGGAAGCTCAAACCCATCCGGAGGGTTCGGTACCACGAAATGATCGCTGACAGCTTCGGTCCTGTCGCCGAGACTTGCACACTGGTTCAGGCTCGCTGAGTAGAGTTGGGGAAAATGATGGTAGTCACAGCCGGCTGCGGAGTCGATCAGACTGAGCCGTCCACATGTGACAGCTCTGCCTGTATGCACTCAGAGTTGGGGAAGTGGCTGAATGGCATGCCGTGGCGCATAATCTGGCTCGGCAGTCAGTGCTTCCTTTCGCTCGCTGGCAAGAGATCGCCGACTCCGGGACCCGGTAGGTGACGCGTTGGTGTTTGGGACGGAGATCTCTGGGAATGGGGTCGAGAGAGGGTGGGACGACGGCTTGCAGGCGGTGGCACCACGCAGTGTGTTGCCGCCCGGGTTGCTCACGTAAGGGTGGCCGTAATCTTGGACAGATGTCGAGGTCTGGATTTGGAGGAGGAGGAGGAGCCAAACGACTTGTTTTGAGGAGGTCTGGGCGTTGCAGGTGTTGTTGGGCCCCCGGGCGGTAAAGAGGGTCTCGATGTTTTGGGAGCGCGGCTGCGAAAATAGAGTCCCTGCTCGGTACCGTGTTTGGGTTGCGGGGCGCAGGATGTCTATCGTGGATAGAGTCTCTTTACCTTGGCAAGTATTTTCCGCTGTCGGTCTCGGTTGTATACTGTTTTTGTGACTAAAGATTCTGAGTCTCTAAATGTGCTTGTATGGACGGTGTTCAGTGTTCATCTCGTGAGATCAACCCGGAAGCCATCATCATCGGCATGAGAGGGGATCGGCGCTTTTCAGATGCATTTGATGAGATGACACTCTGAGCATTGACACCTAAACCCTTCCACATAACTTATTACGCAAGCTATTACTGAGATCTCATGCTTTGCCAAGCCCAGATGCCAAGGCGATGGCAACTGTCGCGCTGGTGGTGGACAATGCAGAAATGGAAGTGCGTGGTGTGTCCCATTCTGCGATTGTTGCTGTTGCTGCTGACGAGGATGCTCTTCCCCCAACACCCCTGTTGACTCCACATGGCCGCACGGATGGAAGCGAGCCAATGACGGGTCTCCGAGAGGCGGCTCGGAGTGGATGAGACGCCCTCCCGCGACAGCTGCCGTCTGATTTCCGAATTCCTCAAACTCTGTTCGACTTCAGTTCCTCTCCGCCAAGAACAGGGGGCGGAGGGACCACATCTTGATTGTTGATCGAATGAGGCTCCTTTTGCGTCGTTGAGTCGAAGATGACGTCCCTGGAGTTTACTGGCTGACGAATTTGATGTTAGGATCATCTAGTGATGGAAAAAGCAATTCTTGACGGTGTGTTTACCGGAGGCGTGTCTACGATGAACCGAGTCGTCGCTCAGGCAGAATTTGGACGCCGTGTTTGTACGAGTGTACGAGGCGAGATATCTCCCTGGTGGTTTCCTCGGAATTTCCGCCCATCCAGTCGGCCAGCAACCGAAACAGGTAGTTTTTCTGCCAGGTCCCAACAGGCGCCCTCCTCCTATCGCCCGCTCTAGCGGACCGGACGAACTCTTGGCTCGCACATGGCCATGTCCTGCATCACCCCTACCGAGTGGATGAGCCGCATCGGAGACTGCCCAGCCGACAGCTATACCCACACAACAACTCCGGGCCCCAACCGCCAAGCCGCATCACCATCGCGGAGCGACAGGCGAGGACCCAAGATCGACAGAGTCGCTTTCCCAAGCGAGTTGCTCAGGGGCCGCCGTTCACGTTGCGCCGGGTTGGCATGATGAGACGAACAAACCGAGATGCGGGCGGGCGCCTCTGCTTGTTGCTGATGGGTCGTTGTCCCGCGTCGTCATGTCCGTATATAAGTCCCCATCTGCTTTTCAGTAGTTGACAGAAGGAAGTTTTGTTTCCTCATCACGCATACTCTCTCTTCTCTTTCGTTCAGTTCTGGGAACTTTGTTTGTATTCTTTACTCTTCCATTCTTTACATTCTCGTCCTTCTCTCCGAGATCACTAGGCCGGCCCTTCTTTCACCTTGTACTTTACCACATTTCTTTTCCCCGAACGAACATAAGATGAAGTTCCAAAACTCCATCGCCCTCTCGGCCCTCATCGGCCTCGCCGCCGCCGAGGTGCCCCAGGAGCACTCCCACGAAAAGTACCTCCGCGCCGTCAACGCGCTCTTGAAGCAGGACAACCCCCTGAACATCCAGGACGCCGTCTTCGGCCTCCTGGGCAATGCCGCCGCGGAGGCCGGCGCCGGCGACGTCACAAACCTCGACTGTCTGCACCAGGCCACCGCCGACTCGGCCTTCACCGCCGCCAAGGCGGCCAACGACGTCGACGGCATGGCGAGCGCGCTCGTCTTCCGCGCCGTGGAGCGCAACACGGGCTCCGTCGGCCTGAAGAGCGTGCTGTGCGACGAGACGGCGCAGAACCCCGAGATTGCTGCTCTTACCCAGCACCAGGACCCTGCTTCGGAGGGTGCTGCCGCGACGAACAAGGAGATTACGCTGGAGCTGGCGAGGCAGCTTGCTGCTGTTGGAGCTGACCCCATGCTGGCGCTTGACTCGGGCACTTTCGAGCCAGGTGACGTGAGTGTATGCTGCTAGAGTGAACTGGCGACGATGCTGATGAGACTGTAGCCGAACGACAACACTGGTGCGGGCAACACTTGCGACGACGCCGATGATGCTGAGGGATGTATCTTCTCCCAGAACCTCCTCGTCCAAGATGCCACCCCGGAGGAGATCCAGGCTGCCGTTGACGGTGCCGACGGAGCGGGTAAGATCCCTTCAGTTCCAGAACCATACCATCTTACATCGTGACTAACTCCAACACCGTGCAGCCAGCAACTCTACCGCCGTCACCAAACTCAGACTCCGCCGTGCCACTCTCCTGAACCGCCGTGGAAAGAAGAACCAAGACGCCGCTACCGGTGCCGATGCTTCTGCCAACGCCACCGCCGTTGCTGACAAGGTCCGTCGCGGCAACAAGAACAAGGACGCTGCCGCTGATGCAGGGGCCGCTGCCAATGCTACGGCTGTTGCTGATAAGTTCCGCCGCGGCAACAAGAACAACGCCAACGCCAACGGCAATGCTGCCGCTGCCAACGAGACTGCTGATGCTGTCCAGTCTGCTGGAAACGGCGGCAATGCGAACGCCAATGGTAACCAGAACAACAACGCCAACGGCAACAACCAGAACAACAACGCCGACGATGCTGCTGATGCTACGGGCAACGGTAACGCCAACAACAACAACCAGAACGGAAACCAGAACAACAACGCAAACAACGGCAATGCCGATGATGCTGCTGATGATGTCGCTGATGATGCCGCTGATGATACTGCCGATGACAACACTGGCAACAACGGCAACCAGAACAACCAGAATGGTAACCAGAACCAGAACGGCAACAACCAGAACAACCAGAACGGCAACCAGAACAACAATGGAAACGCCAACAACGGAGGCAATGATGCCGCCACCGGAACCGACGTGCAGACCTTCACCGGCGACCTCGGCGGCCCCCCTCCCCCGGTCACCTCTGACGCCGCCTCCGACAAGCCCTTCTCCGTCAACGGCGCCACCTTCGTCAATGCCGGCGCCGCCCTCCAGCGCTCCTGCGCCGTGCAACACAACGCCTGCGCTGACGCCGCGAACTCTGGCTCCGAGGACATCACCGTCGCCGACTGCGACGCGCAGGAGGACGACTGCCTCGCCGCGGCCTCCCTCAAGAAGCTCCGCCGCTCCTCCAGCGTCGGCTCCGAGGGCCGCAAGATGCGCATCGCCAGCAACGCCATCAAGACGCGCCAGAACCTCGACTTTGGCGAGTGCCAGGACCCCAGCATCGAGTTCGCCGCCGGCCTCGACGGGCGCAAGGAGGCGTCCTTCGGCCCCGCGGGCGACTTTGAGCACGGCTCGGCGCTCAACATCAACATCATCAGCAGCTTCATCTGCGGACAGCTGTCGTCGAGGTGCCAGGCTTCCGACGACGCTGTTGCTGCGTGTGAGCAGGGACAGGCTGACGCCCAAGGATTGCAGGGCCAGGCGGCTGCTGATGCCTTTAACACGGCTCTCGGTCTGTAGAGGCTGTTTATGTATGATGACGAGTTTCTTTTGTAGGAGTTTGGTCTAGATGTACGATGAGAGGAACTGAGAGGGCCTTGTGAATGAAAAGAATTCCATCTCAGAAAATTTTGATGAATATGACGATGATTTGCATTGTGCTTGTATTGAGACTGATTGATTTACCATGGAAATTGAATTTTGTCCATGCTTTTAAAACCGCCGATAATCGACAAAACCACCACCAAAAGGCAAAGTGTAATATCGACTTGGAAATAAAATTCCAATCATCATGAGGAAAATGTCTACACACACTTTTTTCAGTCCACCAGGTCGTGGCTTGTTTACATTTGCTTAGCGCTTGCCGCCAATGAAAATCATTTCACCCACTGTGGGAATCTTCATGCAGCGTTTTCCTGGATCTCATCTCCAACTTCACTCCACATCTCCAAAACCAAACACTGAATTTTTCACCTTACTCAGTCACCCCTCACATCCACCAGAAATTCGAAAAACACTCCCAGCAAACCGTTTGGCTGAGTGAATTTTCGATTTTTTCTCACCATGGCTGGATTTGACTACACGGCCCTCGGCGAGCGGGATTTCAGAATCCTCTCGCTCGCGCCCGGAAAATTCGACGAACCCCTCAAGGGTGAGCTTATCGTCCGCCCGATCGACCCTTACATCGACGAGGCGTCCAAGCACGATGGTGAACTCCCTGAGTCGGCCGACTCCTACGAGGCCGTCTCTTACGTCTGGGGCTCCAACGACACCCCGCGCACCATCACCATCTCATCCACCGAGGTGTCCATCACAGAGAACCTCTTCACCTGCCTGAAGCGCGTGCGCCTCCAAGAACGCCCGCGCCAGCTTTGGGTCGATGCGCTGTGCATCAACCAGGCCGACGCCGCCGAGAAGCAGGCGCAGGTCATGCTCATGCACGACATCTACGTCAGCGCGCCCCGCACCCTGGCGTATCTCGGCGAAGAGGCCGACGGCAGCAGCGATGCGATGGACCTGATTGAGAGGTACTGGCGCGTCAGCATCCCCAACGAGCTCAACGCCGGGGCGCGCGCGTTTATGGAGGATTCGCTCGGCAAGCCCGTCCCTGATGCGCCCACCGGCGCGGAGGCGGAGCTGCCGGCTGAGGGCGACAAGCGCTGGCTGGCTGTGTCGCGGTTCTGGAACCGGGCGTGGTTTAAGAGGGTGTGGATCGTGCAGGAGTTCATCTTGGCGAGGGATGTGGTGATGATTTGCGGAGAGAAGACGGCGAACTGGGCGCAGCTTTGGCCTGCTACGATTGCGTTGGAGGAGCCTGAGAGCCCGCCTTGGCCGCTGATTGATGAGAAGGGTGAGGAGGTGGAGAGCGCGGCGGATTTGATGGCGAACATGGCTCAGAGACTGCGGTTCTACCAGCTTGGTGCTATGAGAGGAAATGTCCAGGAAGACGGATGCTGTGGTGACGACGATGAGCATGATCATGAGCACGGAGATGGCTGCTGCGGTGGAGACGACGAGCATGAGCACGATCACGACGGACATGATCACGGCAAAGAGGCCGCTGAAGGCAGCGAAGAAGAGTGGGAGTCCGAAGACGAGGACGACGACCCGAAGCGCTCCACGGAGCTTCTCAGCCTGCTCCTCTCCTTCCGCGAGGTCGAGGCCGCTGACCCGCGTGACTACTACTTCGCACTCCTCGGCCTCGCCGCCGACGGCGACAGAGAAGAGTTCCGCCCCGACTACTCGGAGAAGTTCGAAGAGACAGCCCTCCGCTTCGGCCGCACCCTGTTCCACGAGCCCTTCAGCGAGGAGCTCCTCGACCACGCCGGCATCGCGGAGCACCTCAACGGGAGCGCCAACAAGTTCCCCTCGTGGCTGCCCGACTTCCGCCGCCCCTGGCACCGCATGACCGTCGCCGACGCCGCCGAGTCCGAGGCCGCGGGCGAGACCGACTTCGACTTCGGCTTCGACCCCAACGACGACGAGGACGTCCTCCTGCTCAAGGGCGTCAAGGTCGACACCCTCGCGCAGATGAGCGGCGTCCCCCGCGCAGCGCACCTGCACGCCGACAGGCCCTCCATCTGGGTCAAGAAGGACATTCTCACGCTTTCCAAGATCATCGAGAAGATCCCGGGCTTCGAGAAGGCGACGTACCCCACGGGCGAGTCTGGGCTGGAGGCCGTGCTGCGGACGCTGACCTTCTTCCGCGCCGAGGCGGACGAGGAGGAGGTCCCGATGGCGACGCTGAAGCTGGCGTACCGCTTCTGCACGGCCGTCGAGGAGGACGACCTCGACCCCGAGCGGGCGGAGCGCGACGTGCTGCGCCGCGAGATCGAGCTGGCGGGGCGCTCGGCGGAGGAGGCGAACGAGGCGCTCGTGGCGGCGGCGCAGATCCTCATCAACCGCGTCTTTACCACGCGCTCCGCGCTGGATCTGGTGCTGGCCAAGGGTGAGAAGTACGTTGCCATGGTGCCTGATGGATGTGAGGCTGGTGACGAGGTTTGGGTTATGAAGGGGTGCAACGCGCCGTTTGTGTTGAGGAAGAGCGCTGAGCGGGAGGGGCTGAGACGTATCGTGGGTACGGCGTACGTGCACGGTATCATGGATGGGGAGGCGGTCGAGGAGGGAGTCGAGTTTGAGCCGGTTTCGATTCACTAATTGGGATCATTTCCAGTGCCATGATGGAGAGATCGCGTAGGATCATGATGACATGACACGGACCCAGAGAAGGTCTTTATGCTTAGACGTCTAGATAAGAGTATCACGGGAGGAATACAAAAGTTTTGCGATTTTGACTGAGACGGGATATGCTGTGAGAGGAACCTTGACGGCCTAGAAAGGCACCGCATGCATAGGTTTCCGCACCGAGCGGCCGGGACGGCACGGACCTGGGTGTGGGTCCTACCGGTCCGTTAGCGGTTCCACGGCAGCGGGAGTGGCTGGCGATGTAGGCGTCATTGAGCGTCATCGTCTGTTCTGTCAGCATGTTTTAGAGCTTTGATGCAGCGCTTTGTTGACACCTGTTGTTGAGTTCAAAAATGGGCAGTTCGTCTCTGTGAGGATGATGCGAACTTAAGTTTCAAGCAACTGCAAGCTCGGTCTCAATTGTCACATTGGACCTATCAAATAACCAGCCGCACGAGCAACTTTTCAACGTACACTGCCAACAAGATGCCTTCGTCAAAGGGAAAGCCCACTGACCCTGAGCTGAGGGAGGAGATCAAGGAAGGTGAGAGTGATGAGGAGCCACGATATTTGAAAAAACTAAACTGACATTTTGATTATAGAAATTAAGCAAGAACCTAACAAGTCTGGCGGCGGCGAGGGGCAGTGGTCAGCATGGAAGGTCAGTCTGCATATCGCAATATGAACAGGGGCCAATAACTAATAATTACGCAGGCATCCAAGCTTGCCAAAGAGTATGAGAAGCAGGGTGGTGATTATGAGAATGAGGCGGGCTCCAAAAACGAGCCGAAGAAGGGAGAGCCGGAAAAGAAGAGCGAGTCCAAGAAGAAGAAGGAGACTGAAGATTAGGGCGTCAATCGTCATAATGTGCATCAAAGGGCGTAGCTTCACAGAATAATAAATATTGCATCAAGGTCAACACCTCGCACTTTGTCCAATAATCCGAGGAACTTTTGATACGAGATGTCAACTGTGCCGCATTTCCGTCACCCATGCAAAGGCCGAACTACATTAAATATCAACCCCCGCTTATCGTCTTCGCGGTGACTGCTTGTCTACCTCATACCTTGAACATGCAGGGCCTCATAGAGGAGGACATCTCAGAAGATATACAGCCAGACGAGGATGATTGCTGGACACCTCTCCAAAAGGCAGCCCGCGACGGCGACCTCACCGCGGTGGGGATAGCCCTCGCAGCCGGCGCCGACATCAACGCCCCGCCGCAGGGGTACTACGGCCGCACCGCGCTCCAGGCGGCCTGCCTGGCATCGCACGCCGACGTAGTATCCGCGCTCTTGGACGCCGGTGCGGACGTGGACGCTGCCCCCGGCAACAACGACGCGCGCAACGCTCTACAAATTGCGAGCGGGCAGCCGGACATTTCCATCGTCAGGATGCTCCTCGACAAGGGGGCCGACGTGAATGCGCCGGCGACGAGGTACTGCGGAGCCACTGCTCTACAATCTGCGTGCTCCGCGGGACTGGCTGACGTGGTCGCGCTGCTGCTGGATCACGGGGCGGACGTGAACGCGGCGCCGGCCAAGACGGCGGGTCGGACGGCGCTGCAGGCCGCGGCGGCGCACAGCTTCGCGGAGATAGTTAGGACACTGCTGATGGATCACGGGGCGGATGTCAACGCGCCTGCGTGCCGGCACAAGGGCTTCACGGCGCTACAGGTGGCGGCGCTTCACGGGGACGAGGGGATGGTCGCGACGCTGCTGGGCGCCGGGGCGGATGTGAATGCCGAGGGGAGCAGGTTCAAGGGCGGGAGGGCGCTGCATGCGGCGGCGGAGGGGGGTCACGTTCGCGTGTGCGAGATGTTGCTGAATGCCGGGGCCGAGATCGACGCTGGATCTGGCGGATGGACTGCTGGTGGAGGTGGTGGTGGTGGTGGGCAGACGGCGTTGCAGGGCGCGGCTGCGAGGGGTCATGGTGCAGTTATTCGGGTTTTGCGGGACAGGGGTGCGACGGGAATGGAAGGTGGAGGGACGTTTCTGTTTGATAGAGTTTGATTTCCTGGTGACATGCAGCAGATAAGGTGGTATTGCGGCCATGGAAGAACTAGCGGTGGCTGGTTCACTTGGAGTTGATAACGCAGTTGCACAGCTGAAAAGAAGGCGTACACGACACATCTTCCACGGACTGAGAGAGACACGCACAATCTTAGCTAACCAACTAGTCCGTTACCTGGAAGGATGCCGGACCCTTACTGCGGGCGGCGCATGAACACCATCGACAACACCATCACCCGCAGAGCCAACAGCCAAGACAAGATCACACAGGCGCCCCGACGTTTACGTCTCGTCCGGAAGTTCAGCCAAGTCAGCCGACTAACG